AAAAGTCACAGCGAAAATTCAGCAGGCTGTGCAATATTTACTCAGCAAGGGTGCTCAGGCACTTACTCAAGGCTCAGACTTTGCAAATCCAAGGCCAGGTTGCCCAGGAATATAAATTGGTGCCGTTACCTTTAATGGAGCAGTGGGGATTTATGCCTGCAGAGCATTTACTCCTGTGAGTAAGAGGGAGGTCTGAATTAGGGAATAAACAGGTGAAAAAAAAAATTCCAAACGATATTAAACAAACAGGGAATTAGAATATCACTGCAATGCATTGCCCGTGGTTTTCTCGACATGATGAACCCATTCCTGGCTGGTGCATGATGCTACGACCCTGGTATTTTAATGGAGTTGCAGAGATTTGGTCCCCATCCTTATCTGGTCCTTGTGTCACAGCTGGTGTCATGAGTCACCAGAGGGAGTTCCGGATGCTCTGTGTTGAGGGAAGAAAGCCAACTGGCATTTCCTGAACAAAGACAGCAAGACATGAGTTGCACAATTTTTTAATTTTCTTTTAAAAAAAAAATTAAAAATAAACATTTAAAGAAAAAAAAAAAAAAGGATTGCACTGTTAGAGCATCTGCCTGTCAGTCTGTCATTTCCTCCCCACCAGCTTTTGAGCTCTGATTAATTTGACTTGGGTTTCATAAGGGATGGATATCTTAAGAATTATGAAATTCTTGGGCTGCTGAGGAATTTTCCGGAGTACTGATGTTTTTTTTCTGGTGAATTTATTTCTAAACTGGACCTTACTGAAGGGGAGCAAGGGCAAAAATGATTGCCTGATTTCAAATGAGTTTACTGATCTGAAAAATCTGGAGAGAAGTAGAGGAAGAGAAAGTTTGAAGTTAACCAAATAATCTATTTCAGAGCTTTTGAAAAAATTTTTTTTAAAATTTCAGTTCAGAAGAATGTTTAACTTCAAAATCTTAATGGAATTTGTAACAAAGTGTTAGAGAATGAAAACGTTTAAACTAGAAACGAACTGTTTGGGGAATTCCTGAAATAATGCACATTGATTACTGTAATAACAGTAACTAAAAATAACCAAAATTAAAAACCAAAAGGATTTGAGTTCTGAGCGAGTGTTCAAGAGTTAAGGGAGTTCTAGGGTGGGGACAAAAGTACTGAAATCATTCCTGGCTTGACATTAAATCTGTCCTGTTTTTTCTTGCTAGTTTTACAGTGGTTTGAATAAACTTTCTAATCTAGTCTGTGTTACAGCACATACTTTATAAACAGTTGGTGGTAAACACATGTTCCTAAAGAGAGGTGCAAGGTTTGCCATTAACATCACTGGTACCAAGATACATCCCTGAATTCCCTTTAACAAATCACCCCTTCTTTTCTTGCATTTCCTTTAAACGCTGCAATCTGTTAACAGGTTTCCAGCATCAAGGTTTCGGGATGCAGTTACTAGAGGACAGGGAGGAATTGGCTTTCTGCCTACAAGAAAAGCTTGTTAACTTTTTGTAAAAAGACCTGAACAGCCACCCAGAGGTCCTTGTACTGACTTCAGTGCCTGGCAAATTGGGTCCACGCCCTGCATCTAGCCAACAACAACCCTCTTCAGCCTTTAAAACAGTTGGTTATTTAAAAGACGTGGCTTTTTCTTCTAGCATTAAAAAGAAGTACTATGCAGTCTTGAAAGATAGCCCGGTCCATTGAATAATTGTGCAGGACAAGAGCAGTTCTCAAAGTGTTGCTATCAAAAGCAAGTGTAGTTCCCTACGGCTGGCTTTTGATTATTGATACAGCAGAGGGAAAGGTTCATTTAAATATAGAAATAAAAATCCACTATTAAAAAGGTTCAGCTACTTGCAGAAGGCTTTTTTTTTTTTTAGTAGTTTCTAATGTGGCTGCTTCCTTTAACACTTTAACCCTGAAAAAGGGCAACAAAACTAATACCTTCTAAATGCACTGTCAGAGCAGCTTTTTGCTTTTACAGTGGGCTGCTGTGTCCCAGCATGGTTTGAAAACTTCAGCTTCATCAAATCATCCTGATCACCACCCTCCCAACAAAGCTCTGAGTGTTGGCTTTCCAACTCGTTCAATTATGGTAGAACGTAGGCTCCTAACTTTGGCATTTTAGAAATTTTTGTCAGAGGGGACTTTCAGGGAACCTGGAGACCCCTAAAAATCCTGGTCCCACTTATCCTCTATTTTGCTGAGTATATCACACTACACTCTGTCTTTTCTTAGTCATTATATATATTATATATGTGATATACACTCTGTGTATATCACACACACTCTGTCCTTTCTTAGTTATTCAGAAAAGTGGTATAATAATATGTTGGTGCTGCTGTAATCCATCTCCTTTCTGCTCTCCTTCCCACAAGTTGCAGGTGTGTATCTGATGGTGGGGTGGGGAGAGCAGGATGAAGGAGCAACGGCCGAGGAAGGAATGAAAAGTGACATTGCATTATCCCGTCCTGATCTGAAGCCCGTAGAAAGAAATTAGGAAGTTTCCCCCTCATTTTGAGGGATGTTGGAACCTATAGCTCCCCGAAACAAGGTGCTACCAAAGTCAGTGGCTGTCAGCAGCAATATCAAGGAAAAAAAAAGAATTCTTCCCCATCACCTTTTTTTATTACTTCTTCCCCCTATCAAGGAGAGGCTTTGGAGCAAATGTCTGTTAGTATAACTGGCACATATATCGAATCTGCTTAGTCTGGGCTGTTAAGTAAGTTTAATTAATTTACTAAGTTAATGTTCCAATGCTAGCAACAAAGCATCATTGCAATCAGCTGGGTAGCAGGAATTGGAACCCCTAAATGAGCTCATTTTTTCACAGTTGGAATTAGGGACCAGTTAGCCAGTTGTGTGGTTTTTCCAATTTCTCCACTTGCCCTAAGGGAGTTGCAAGTTATTCATTCCCTATTGCTAAGTGTGAGTAAGACGGGGAGGGGGGGGGACAAGAACAAACCCTACTCCATGTAGGAGTCCATCTTTGATCCTAACACTGCTGATTCCCTGGCTGTTCTCTGCACTGATCTTCCTGCCTTGGTCCTCGAATGGCATTTTGCTGCTATTTGTAACAGTTTGGGGAAGCCAGAAAAGGCATCACTGAGAGATATTTACTGCATGTATTTTCATCCTGAGTGTGTGCAGATAAAGGGGGGAAAAACAAATAAACAATAAAAGAATGGAAACAAAATTACAGAAATTTGCAAAGTTTGACAAATGGTGGCCAGGAGTTGCCACAAGCTAATGGCTTGCAATGATTAATAAGAGTAAAAATAATTGCATTTCATTAAGATTGATGACACCCCATTTAACCTCCCTTCTCGTTTCAGCCCTAAAGTGGAAAGAGATGAAGTTCTCATCTATAATAGCTCCTGTAACATTACCATGGAAACTGAGGCAGAGATGGAGTGTGAGGGAGCTAATCAGCCAATTACCGCCAAGATTACTGAGATATGGAAAAACTGGGGCCAGAACACTCAGGTATAATCAAATCTTTTTTACAGACTGATTCAAACAGCTTAAAATTAAATTTGTAATATTGTGTACATTTAAAGGGAGGGCGGAAAAAAAACAATTTAGGCTGAGCTGCAGCAATATATAATATTAAATGCTTTCTAACTTTGAATAGCAGTTCTAATGCAGTGCAGCTGAATTAATGCTTAACTATGGTTAATCATGTATTTTATGAGACATAAATGAGCTTTAGCTTATTTTCTAGGCAATGTATATCTTTTTTAACACTCTCTATTTTTTTATATAAATTCAAAGTCTGTTCTGAAAGTGTTATTTTCTGTTACTTGAGCAGAAATTTTAGTCCGGAGACACAGTTTCAGCTCTCTGGCAGAGATTTAGCATTTGGGCAGCTCTGCTTATATTTGGTTTTTGCCCCTCTTCAGTATCTGAAGTAAAATGGGACAGTGTTCCCAGTGCTATGTGTGGGTATAGCAAGAGGGAAGACATCCATAAAGTGTTTATTACAGAAGCTATGATTCTGAACTAACATCATGATGAGGCTCCATGTCTAAAAATGTTCATTGCAAACCTAAAATGTCCTTTTAGAGTCCTTGGGGTGTTGCAGAGCTTTTATCATAGAATCATAGAACGGTTTGGGTTAGAAGAGACTTTTAAAGGTCATCTAGTCCAACCCCACTGCAATGAGCAGGGTGTTTTTTGGGGGTCTTGAGCTAAATTCTGGGTTGTGTCACCCATGAGAAGAAATTCAAAGACACTGGATCTTTGGGGAACATAAAATATCTCTTTTTCACCATCCTTTCCTAAATGAGCAGCTCCTGAGAAGTGATGGAAACCTTGCACATAGTGGTAGTGGGATGAGTTACACACCTCACTTATCAGACCAAATGCTGTACTTTGTCTCATAAACCAAATTATCATGCAATTGTCTTAGTATGGTTGAGACCTAGGAAACTGAAGTTTGTTTTTTTCAGGATTGATATTAAAGTTAACATGTAAATGTTTAACTCTGCAATGAAATTTCCTTTACTGTCTCCACCACTCCAGGAGTAGCTGCTGTGTCCTGGTAGAGTAATTTTGGTGTGTAGAATCTAGCATCAGATTCTAGACCTTTTACTAAAAGTCTCTATTTGCCCCGCAAATCTACTTTACGTGTGTGTTACTATTTCAGCAGAGTATTGTAAAATATAATTGCTTTCCTTTATTCTGCTGTTTTAAGTCTGTCCTTGGTCGGTGAAGGAATGTCACATGTAGCCTTTTACCTATTTGGGTTTTTTTGCTAGTTTTGCTACCAGGAACATGCCCAGGTAAGGAGAAAACCAAGCCAAAAAAGAAAACAAAATATCGCTAGTTGGCAACTGCAGGAGGTCAGCAAAGGGCAGTGCTCAGGTGAACATCAGATGAGGTGGTGACTACTCCTTTCATTCATATTTTCCTTCCCAAATGTGAGAAGGGCATCATCTACCACCCTGAAGACTGGGCTGTGGCTTAGAGGAGCTATTACCTGCTGTTGGCTGTGATCTGAACAGCTCGGCTGCGTCACGGGTCTCAGCGATGAGATGATGACAGGTTGTCTTTTGACTCAGGTAGGGGTAAGAATAAGAAGCAGTAGTGAGGTTTGTCCCCATAATGGCTCTTCTCCTCAGAGTAGGGAAAATGGAGGAAGCCTTAGGTGTCCTGAGTGAATGAATTCATTCAGGGAGAGCGGGACAAAACCAGCAGCACTTTCAGATCTGGGATTTGCTGCTGCTTAATGAAGCCAGCGGGCGTTTGGAATCATTTTATCCCTCTTCCCAAAACTGGCCTGGGTGAGCAGAGGTGGATGGGTGGGGAGTTCAGATAAATGGTTTCAATTTTGGTCCCTTTCTAGCTGACAGCATCCCGTTAAGATTTACGACCTGGTGCAGCATATGCATGCTTCACCGTAGAGGTTTAAATCATGTCATGTGAACTGGCCTTACCTTTCCAGTGGAAATAATGGTCCCCAGGTTCAGCACCAAGCAGTGAAATGCATTAATAGCACCACGTGTCTTAGGATAATGGTGCTATTAACAGGCAGCACAACTCTATGTACAAGTAATGGGACTGCATCTCTTTATAATAACATCTGGCACTTCTGTTGCACTCTCATGCAAGGATCTCAAAGCACTTCATTAAAAATAGGCCTGATCCATAGCGGTTTTCAGCATAGACACACTGCTCAGTGTTTTGTTTTCTGCTTACTCTTCTGCCAGCTGAACGGTGCCCAGGTTGGCTGAGAACTCAGGAGTGTCTTAGCACAGCTGGGCTTTGTGAGAGGGTAGGGGTAGAGATGATTAGATGATGATGGAGCCAGGATTTGCTCCAGGACGACACTGAAAGTAGGAAGAGGCATGGCAGAAAGGTTGACAGAGGCTTCTCAAGAGCATGAGATGAAAAGGCATTGGCAAGAAGAGAGAACAGCCTCGGTTCAGAACACAAAATTAAAAGAATCCAAACCTCAAAAGGCTGGTTTTAGGAACTTGAGTCTAAGGTAAAGTTATTCTTTTCTTCAGTCTTTATAAGACACCTAATAGGACCTGTCCATAATTCTAAAAATAATAAGGAAGAGAGTAATGTGATTAGTTGGGATTTGGTAAGTTGGAAATGGGGCAAACATAGACTGTGAACATGACAAGGTTTTGCAGCAGTATCCTGGTGGGAGAATGTTGGGCAGAAAGCTCCAGAGATGCCTGGGGAGGAGTCTGGTGGCTGTATGGGAGAGGCTGGGGACATGATACCCCCAGTAGCAGGAAACCAGACTCCATGGTGATCTCTTCCAGGTCTGTGTTTCTATGATGCTTTTAGCAGCCCTGTTAACAATAGCCCAGAGTGACAACTCAGTGACGTTGAAGAGGAATCCATGCATAAGGATCCTGGTCTACAGCAAGCGGCAAAGATGTCCATTAGCTTGATCTGCCTTCTTTGACCAGCAGGAGCCTTGTCCTGGAAATAGCCCATTTTTTACTTGCCCAACTCTGCAAGTATCCAGACAGTGAATTCACCCTGGATCTCTGTGTCAGCCTTACTAAAAATTGCATTAAATGTCTGTTGTAACTCATCTAAGAATCAGACCTTAGCCATGCTGGTTGGGTTTTGAATAACACTGCCAGACCCGTTCCTCCAAATTTCTGGTCACATCCAGAAATTATTATATGTATTCCCGTGTTTTTTCCTCACCGTCTGTTTGAATTGCAGGTGCATGTGTAAACCAGGGACACCAAAATTATCTGATGAGATTAGCAAACACAAGCACTCATTCTCAGTGAGTTAATGAGGTGGTTGTCATTTGAATTTCTTTTATTGTCTTAGATACAAAGAAACTCCAAATACCAGAAGATCATTTGTACCTAGATACAAACTCTTCACAGGTGCACTTTTTACTCCCATTTCTTTAGCTTCTTTTTTTTTTTCCTGATAAATACATATAAATATCTATTTTAATGCAAATTAAGAGTTCTAGATATCTTAATTTTGTATGATCTGCATGAGATAGCTAAGCTTAATTCTGCAGAGAAGAGAGCTCTTCCACCTCTGATTTCAACATAACTTTGCTTTAAAAATGGTCCATAGCTATCGTTGAAAGTTAGAAAGTTATTTTTTTATAATGCTGGCTGTCCTAATCATGTTGTGTGTGCTGCTCCCTTGAGTTACTCACTTGAATTTTTGGTCTGGGTTGAACCTCTTTGAAAACTTTTGGGTAGGATCTTCAGCGAGGAGAAAATGGCTGTATTTTCTGGGACCTGATGCAATATCCATCACTTGAGTTTTGTTCCTTCAAATCTGGTCTCCTAGCTGTTGCTTGCATGGTTACAAACTAAAGTGGGCTCAGGTCTGACTCTAGAGGACTCCCAAAATTTCTGGAAGTTTTAAGTTGCTGGCTGTAGATCTGTGACTTTCATGGCAGACTTAATGAAGTCTGAGTTCACCAACTTGGCCTTTTCCTTGGGTCTGGTCTGTGCCTGGTCATCCCCCAGAGAACAGCTTTTATGGACTTCTTCAGAAGCTGATTTAGGCCCTTACCTCACTTTGTGTTTTAAGTACTTGGCCCCTTATGACTTAATTAGGTCAGTAAGTAAGCAGCAGGCCTCTGCCCCACTGTTGCATTCGGCATCATTAGTGTTTGTAACTTACTCCATTATTATCTAAGGAAGAGTTGCGGAATTATTTTTATATCGGTATATAATGCAATTTAGCCTACTGGAAGGAGGGAGGGGGGAATGGGGAAAAAAAATCCAGCACCGATTGTATATCCCACAGGACTTAATTAGTTCACAGTTTCATGATACACTGGATAATGGGAAGATATGAATTAAATAATAAAGGGAAAAGAAAAGTTCTAATGCTCACTCAGTACCTGTCCACTTCCACCTCGGCTGCATAATGAGATGTCAGCTACCCTGACACTGATGAGACATGCAAAACACACTGATAACACGGGTAAAGGATGCTCATGGGAAGGTTTGACCAGGCTCGCATGTCTCCGAACCCATTATGCTTAGTGAGCCTTCAGATTATTATTCCAGATCACTGGACCAGACCTAATCATCATGAGAGCATGCTGTTTGAGCAGCGTTTCCCTGCTCCCACTTGCCCCCCTCCTCTGGCCCAGATGGGTGATATAACGTTCGTTGGAGGGCAGATGCCACGTATATTAAGTCAGTGGTAGGGAAGCTGAGCTGGTATACCAGTGAATCCTCTACAACCCAACCCCTCGAGGGGTCTCTATTAAGAAATAGAAGGCTAATAAAAAATAACTTGCTAGATAAAAAACGCCATCCTGGATTATGGGTCCGCCTGGGTATGCTGTGCTGCCTTTAGTTTGTTTTTAAATAGGGCATTAAGGGAAGGTCTTCAGACTAAAAAAGTAGCTTAGAGTATTGAGGATCTGTGAATTCTTAGCAAGGTGATTGATACCGGGATAACTACCTTGTTCACTTCTCAGAAAAATAAAAAGTAAATTAAAAACCCCATAAAAGCTGTGTTTGAGA